GTGTCCGAAATTTTCTGAAGTTCCTGGACTACCAGATAAAATACAGTTGGTTTTTCCGATCTCAGTTGGTGAATTTTGCTTGCCTGCAGAGAAGACCCAGCTAAACACAACTCCTGACTGTTTGAGACATGGTCTGAAACAAAGTGCTTACGGCATTTACATGAACTTCGGCAAATTAATTTGCTTATATCGAAACCAGCCAAAATTCATAATTGTCGTTGAAGGAATAAATTTCAGTTCTTGCAATTCACACGATTTGATAAATGCATCAGTAAATTATTAACTAACATGGTGTTTTATGCCGTTTTTTTTTACAAAGAGCGTGTACTTTTAGCAGACATCGTCGATTTAATCCAACACCACTTGCATCCATTTTGTGCGATAGGAACAGAACAAAAGCCTTTTTTTATCCGAAATATACTGCATTTAATCACCGATTTTTATTTTCACTCTTAACGTGCCGTCACCTTGTAGAAGTTTTCACACCTGTTATTATAATTGCCGACGCAAAATTATAATTTCTAGCAAACTTAAATATAACTGCGAAATGATGTTGTGCATCTTTTTTCGATAGCAAAAAGGCCTAGATGAAACGTAATGTTTGTTTAAATTAGTAATTTAAAGGCGAAGTAACCCGGAACACTCAAAGTATGCATTAGCAAATGTTATCAATGGCATAGCCAAAGTAACAGGAGTTTTTGAAAGATGCATATTTATGCAGACAAAGAATTGAGGGCAAGGAAACTGTAACAGAATTATTAGTTATTGCTTTTAAATGAAAGTCTTATGTAAGGGTCATGGTGAATTTATTAAACATTTTGCGAATCGCTCACCAAATGCTTACAAACTCGCCAAAATAAAGGTATTCTCCAGGGATCGCAAATGTTAAACATGTTCTGTGGTTATTTTACCTTGATTTTGGATCAAGTAGGCATTTGGAGCGCCATAAAATCTGCTAGATTATCATTCACGAATGTTTCACATTCCAAAAGTGGCACCTAGCAGGTTTCATCTTCAAGATAGCTCTTTCTTCAATTTGCTGGTTCGCAACATCTACTCCGTTCATTTGATCCATAGTTCTCCGTGCCAAAACAAAACTAGACAGCATTTATTTGCATCCATGTATTCACAGGGATTGTGCAAAGGGCTTGTTCTCAGTCGTTTTGTATTCAATTTGCTGCAATTGACATCAACACGGATGTCTAAAGTAGTAGCTGGAGTGACAATAAACAAGTATTGTTTGCACAAGGCGATAATCCCCAGGTACTTTTTTCACAACGCATACGCAATTATTGAGCCCCAGGGTAACTTTGCTGCTTAAATGTTTTTTTCCTCAGGATCATATTCAAAATAAATATGCACTTAAATAAATATTTTCGTATATCTTGTAAGGAGAATGTTTAGACGATAGGTTAGTCTCAAAAAAGGCGAAAAATGCGTTTCTTTTGTGGCATAAATAACAATCATTCCTGTTAATTTCTATTCATTTTACAATCACCTTGGTAATTTAAAGGAACATCGAATCTCTCATTAGATGTTTTCAAATCTAAAAGTCGGATTTATTAACGAAAACGTATCCAAAAATGGGGATTTTGCAGGATATCACAGATAAACACGTTTTACTGCACAAGTACCAGCAATATTGTTTCAAAGATTAAAAAAAAATTGTCATTGTGAGTGTGAAGGACATGTGTTAAAACATGTATAAATGTCCGGCCTTGGTGAATTTGACGTTTATTTGGGCAGATTCAAGGTCAAGTGTTGATAACTAAATTAAATAGGCAAATTAATAACCAAACTATAGGCCATTCGTTGCCATGGTAATTCCAGAAGGTTGCAATACGATAAATGATTTTGAAGTTACTTGTAACCACGAAATTCAATTGATTATTTTGCACGTACCTTACCTGTCCAGCAATAGAATGATACGTCAGGTACCATCAAGCTTTAAGAATTTGTTATGAACGAGACTGATTTCGGTCAAATACGCTTAGAGCAAAACAGTTTGGCCATTTTTTGAATGCTTCAGCGTGTAGTCCGTCTATTCACTGTGTTCCACTGCTTTCAATTACGGCAAATGGTCTGACTAAAACTAAAAATTGAAATTTCTTCCATGACAAGTTGTGCTTTGTCCCTGCTTCAGTTGACCGGTTATCGAAATACGGGCATTCGCTTGCTGCGGTTTGTCCTCAAGATGAGGTCTGTAAAATAGCAGAGCACAATTTTGCAAATAAAAACAAGTGATTGGGTTGGGTGAGCTTGCCTCAGTGACCAGAAAGTCAATGCCCTTGGGACAGGAGGTGTTAGCCCAAGGCACCATTTATATCCCATTTTCTGCTTCAACTAATTCCTATATCAAACACTAGAAGATTAATATCGCGAATGGCATTAGCAAAAGTATCACTTAAAAAAGGTCTAGCAGCTACATTGACACTAAATCTGTATTTATGGTAATGTTTCAAATGTGTTCAAACCTAAATAGAGCTACTCGAATTTAGAATGCATTTAATTAATCATTTATTGCCTAGCTAAAGTTATGGGTTGAAAATCATAATCAAAAACCCTACGATAATTTAAAACAAATCGAAAGTGGGCTTTTTAAATTCGTTCGCAACAAACAGTAAGCTCTGCGAATATACTCACATATCCAGGTTAAATTTAAACTCAGCGGATTTGATGTTTACATTAGTCCTTAATTTTAATAACCGACAACGGAACAACTTGCCGAATCGCGTTTTCAAGGTAGAATTTTCAAATTCGACTTCGTATACGTGGGTTGGGATGCCAAAGTACCCAGGGCTAAAGTCAAACCTTGTCGTTGAAACTTGAATGGTTGCCATGTTTTGGGTGTAGCTTCAGTCAACTTATCCTTTGGCTTCTATCGTAGCTGCTGGTCTACTTTAATCTAAAAAAACAGCTTGAAAACGTTATTCAGCGACAATAATGAACCACTGGAAACGCCAATGCATCATTTCCCAATTCGTTGTCCAATTAGCTTTCGAAACAAAAGGCCTGTGATTGGTATTTCTTGGACAGGTGCATTCGATAGCGCAGGTAATTGCAAAAATGTGATATTTTTGGTGCGTTGGAGATACCTGCACAAGGATAAAGTGACGAGCGAATAACGACATTAATCAAAGGGCTTGGGAGGCCAAGGGCACTTTTATTAATACAAACCGCTCTTGTATTTCTAGATTACTGACAAGAAAACACAGAATATATAAAAAAAATCGATAAAATAAACCAGTGTGAGCATTGAAGCTGTGTGGCAAAATTGGAAGCGTTAGCTTGGCGCATAATTTTACTACTTATAAAATCAGATGCAGACAACTCATTTGAGAGAGAGAGTTATTCAAGTTTAAATAATGCAACATATCTCGTTTTGATACCGGTGCCTGCACGAAGAGTTTAAAAGCCACTTTAGTGCCTTGTCACTTTCGAAACATGTAGCGCTAGAGGAAAATATGCGTCCAATTATTCAGAACAACTTAAATGCAAAATTCTGACCTGAAGATCTCTTGGATTTGACAATCTAAATCCGACTTTTTGAGGCAATTCAGTAGAGTGTTAACAAAAAACCTCTTTATTACCTACATAACTTCACTACTATAATCTAACCAGCTTCATGCAATTGCGCCGTTTGTCCTTGGCCACCTCTCCCACGACAAGGACGTCATCACCCTGCCTAGAAGGCGTCGTCAATTGCCTCAATTCGGAGTAGTCAGAAGAGGGAAAAGTGTTTTTCGTTAGGTTTAACAACAACGCAGGCACTACCTATCAGGCTACTTTATCTGATGCCCATATACTACCAATTGTAAGTAGTATTTTACGACCAAAATGCCAGTAGACATGTGCAATGAGGTGTCAGTTACTGTGTGTGAAGCATATAAATTGATTTTTTAAATCAACTGCTCAAGTTACTTTGACCTAGTGTATGGTGGAATAAAGGCCTCAAGACGCATTTTCACTATGACGTCGAATGCCACTCATCACGACATTAACTCGAGTAACCCGAGTCCTGACTTCAATTTCCCAGTTAGATCAAACGCATTCTTGGTGTCATAACCTATATCTATCGCATCCGCGTCTCAGACATACTGACGGACACACCGACTAGCCAAAACGCAATTTATGCTCGCTGCTTTTCCCTTCATCTGATAATTTTTTTGCAAAATTTAGAGACTTTAAATTAGAACTCGATGGGTGGTTTACCAACACTGACACTCTGATTTGAGCTAGTATTCGCGTAATAGGTCCTTTAAGCTGCTACAATTAAATATTGGCTTTAGAACCGCAAACATCTTGAAGTTTACATTGAAACGACAATATCGAGATACTCAAAGTTTACCCTGCAGCGGTTTCGGGTAGGTCAGACAATCACGTTGTGTTCACCAGTTGTAGAGGCTCCTGGCATTGGTCTCGAACCCGCAGCATGCCTTCGACACTCGATGTTGACGAAGACACAGCCATTGGCTAGGTGGCTCACTCCACGAATTGAAAATGTGTCCATGTGCAGGGGAATTCACGAGGACTTTAAAGCTTCAGTGGTAAACGATTATATACACACACGGACTTTAGTTCATGGGTTTCAGCACAACTAAGAAAGACATGTGAATTATTGGATTAGATAAATTATCTGGTTAAACGCTTAAAAAGAAGTTGCGGATTTTAATAAAGACAGTTTAGTGCAATTCTTCTGCGGTATTGGCTCATGGCCTAAATGATGACGAAAAGGATGTCATCTCAAGCCATTAACATTCACAATGCCTTTAATGTTCATCGCAAAGCACCTGGCTCATCTAGATGTAGAGAAATCTTTTGAGCCTTGTCATTGGCTAAACACAACCAATCAAAATCACGCTGACGCTCGTAACTACCCCACTGCCTAACATGCGGAGGAGATAATCACTAATCTTTAAAGACTGCAGGCGTTCAAAACGTGTACAAAACAAAGACTGCTATCAGGTGACTTAAATTGAAATATCGCCGGATGACTGGAAATGCTCTTTAATCTACATAAGTCCTCCCTGACAGATAATTCCCGATCAACAGTTCTTTGTTCGAGTAGCAATCATCGGGACCATAATCGGCTGTATCCGGTTTTCGGTCGCCAGGACGAATTAGGCTACACTACAAGAAGACGGAACTTCGGTCGTCGAAGCTGGTCTTCAACTGGAAAACCTGCATTCATTGAGAAACAGTGGCTGTTGAACCACTGCGACGGAGGTGAATCACTTTTACTAAACCAACAATCGCAAAGTAATCGAACGGTTTCCGTTGCAGGGATCTGTAGGACGCTCTCTGATAGCCTTAAAGACCACTTCCGACTTGGTGTTAACAAACCCCCAACGCCCGCGAACACACCGACTACGCCGAATACAAACTGGAAGGTAGACAAAAGGAGTGATTCCTTTCTTGCACCTGAAACATCCCAACCCAACTTCAAAGTGGAAAGACACCATTCGTGTGAAGATCACGAAATTTGTCTATCTTGGCAATATCCTATGCCACACAAAGTAGAGGGTTTTGACAAAGAAAGAAGGCCTTCACGCAAACTGAAGTACTGCTACGATGAACTAACCAAGCTTCAGCCTTTTCAAACCCAACTACCCAAGATAAATGGTACAAGCAGTTCAGGCAGGATCTCACGGCACAGCACTGAGTCACAGTTTCTCCCATCTACGATATTAGTGAATCCGGAATGCGGGTTACCTTCTCTTCCTTCTTTGGATCCAGTCGATTGTCCACCTTGTCAGAATGAGCCAGCGTTCTTTGCTGCAGCCGCATTCCAACGTAAAAGAGTGCTTTTAAATGTTGGTGGTTCCCAGCACGAAGTTCTCTGGAAGACTCTGGCACGCCTCCCGAATTCTAGACTGGGCCGACTTTGTCGGGTGAAATCACGTACTGAGCTAATGTCGCTTTGTGATGATTACAACCCGGCAAAAAATGAGTTTTTCTTCGACAGAAATGCCACCTCCTTTGACGCTATCTTGAATTTCTACAGGACACGAGTGCTGCATCTTGTTGAGGACATGTGCGTCGTTGCATTTAAGGATGACATGGATTATTGGGGTATCAATGAGCTCTACCTACACCCCTGCTGTCAGCAGAGGTATCATCAGAGAAAAGAAATGGTTGAAGATGAGATCAGAAAGGAGGAAATTTCATTGCGCTGGTTGCAGGATGAAGAAGGCCTGCATGGAAGCAGTTCCATTTCGAAAACTAGATTGAAAATATGGAATATTGTTGAAAAACCTCACTATTCAATGACTGCTAGGGTGAGTTATACATTTAAACAATCTGCTGTAGCATTAGGGTAGACGTTTTCAAGTCAATTGTTTACTTGGTTGATGATGTGTCAGATTTCTGTTTTCCTGTTGATTGCGTGAATACGCATTACATGAGTTTAGTAGTCTAACCTCACTGGCTCTCTATGCTTCGCACCGACACGTGAACAATGAATAAGCGATGCATATTCTCAAAAAAATTATTGATACATGCAAGAGATTCATGGGTTTAAGGGCATTATATAGGTTATTTTAAGCAATAGTGTATATCGTATCCTAAGCAATGTGAATGCCTATGGGTTGGACTGTTCTTGTCAGTCCTTTGACAACTAAATCGAAACGTCTTTTTTTGTTGGGACTTCCCAAAGTTACAAGACTAGACGGACAGAAGTGCATTAATTGATGTGATAATTTGGCATTTTTAAACTAATTAAAAGTGATGGCACACTTAGAATGAGGTGAAGAACACGAAGAAAGGTACTGGAGGGGGTGCGTATTCGCTCCAAGGTGTGAGATTAAGTAAGGTCAATCGTCATTTAGTGGAATAGGTTAAAACGCTAAAGTCGGCCTTTTTTTCTTAATGATAAGAACGCTCATTAAGTGCTGCTGTGTTACCGCTGAGTAAGGTATAGTCGAAGTGTTAAACTAATATTTTTTTACTTTCATCATCAACGAATTTAAAATTTAACAGAGCTAAAAACCAATGCAATAAAACATTAAAATGTTACCCATAATGTCGCAGACAAAATGCGTAAAATCACAATGCAGTGTGTATCACAGTCTCGTCATAACCATACACCCCAAATGCGAGTTAGTAAGACACTTAATAATGTGGCAGAGGTCCAGCTGTTATTAAGAGTCTTCTTTAGGCCAAAAGAGTGGAGCAATGCATAAAAATCCAAAGACATAACAAAATTGCTCTTAACACTAATGATAAATGTTATGATGCGGCGAGATTGACAGTTTGCCGGTAGTGAAGCGATCAATGTTAACAAGTGTGCATGTAAATACGTGTGTGTGTGTGTGAGTCAAAAGAGTTTAAGATGCAGCAGTCATCTTTGACAAGATAGTCCAGTTATGCCAAGATCCTGAAAAAATCTGGAACACATTGCATTTCTTTTTTCAAATTTTCATCCGTCTTATCTCTTCTGTAAACCTTTTGACTTCTGTTCACACTTAACCCGTATATATAATGCGCATTGCAGTTTCTAGTGTAATTGAGATGATTTCATTTCAAATTAAATTTTACTGCGATTTCAGTGCTGATATCTTTGAACTATTTGCCAAAATAAAATGCCTTGAGGCGGAACAGCAACAGCAGGAAATGAAAGAGATGTGCGAAAGGTGCCTTTACATGAAATTATTTAAAACAAGCGTCTAAATGTCCGAATTCCCATTAAAGTTATTTTCAGCACCCACACATGTACATAGGGGTGAGTGTGCGTTGCGGGCAACTATGCCAACAGTTTCGTTGTATACCATGGGACTCATTATTTTTCAATGGTGCACCGTTATAATGCCTCTAATAGCGGTAATTTAAATGGTCACACTCGATGTACCAATTCACAGATGCGTTTGACTTTGTTAATATGTCAGCAAACGGGCGGTTTATTCAACTTTTAAAGATATATTCTGAATCAAAGTAGAGAAGTATTTTTATTCTTTTAACATCTGGCTTTACTGTAATGCTTGCATTCGCAATAGTAGCTTTCCTTTTTGACTTAATGTTTAATTACTTTATGTTCTAAACAAAAGCACGATCAATTAACTAGCAATTATTCGATCTAATTTGGCTCCCCTGCTTGTAAGAATCAAAAATTTTGCTAAGGGGGGCCCCGAAAAACGGTTTTAGTGAACAAGGCTTTTGTTAGATTATTTCTTGACTTACTCGTCTGGAGATCACAACCACAGTAGCTATTTATTTACTAAACCCAAGGTCGCTAATCACGTGAATATCAAGACACAATTGACGTTACAATGTTCGCGATTATCCTTTCTCAGGAATACCAATTAATAAGACATTTTAATACAAAATATTTTTTTAATAATTGCAAAGAAGAATTGTGTAAGGATCGAAATTGGTTAATTTGTTGTGCCGGGACTATTGGAGTCTCCTAAGCAATCGTTCCTGTCAACCTGTGAGATATATTCCTGAACGCGCGACGTATATGGCGGCGACAGAGGTAAATTATAATGAGGAGGTTCATATGAAACAGCGCTGAACATTAAAGACAGAAATAATAAAAAATGACGCCTGACACAGAGGCTGGTGTTCTAATTAGAAACCTGTGCACACCAACAAAAGCAGCAATTTTAAAAGCACTTTAGAATTAGGTAGGTTACTAGGCGAATTGTTAAAAAAAACTATAGCTTTACTCGTGTTTGTTTTAACTTCCGATTAGTGATGTGTATGACTTCACAAATTTCAAATTTTAATGGGAAGTGCAAACGGGCATTCACCCATGGGTTGTTTCGCCACAAGTCGCTCATTTTAGGGAATCTTTGAAACTTAAAAGAAATTGCTGAAACTACCGATGACCACAATGCTGGCCCACTGAGTACATGAATTCTGACAAAGTAACGAGACATGTGTTGAAGGCCTTCGACGAATCCATTTTACCAGACTTATAAAACAAAAGTTTTTAGTGCCAATAACACACTGTAGGTATGTGAGCTATCAATCATTGCGTTAATAACCCAAGTGTTTTAGAATACATGGCTTGACCTTGGTTCGCTTCAGCATGACTTTATAATCGGATTGTATTTGGATTTTTTAAATAAAAAATCTGTAAAAAAGACATTGGCATTTTGTTTCACTCCGTAATCATTTGCCTTGATAATTGAAACCAGCTCTAGAATGACGTGGAAATCCGGAAGTCAAAATATACAAATTATACCAAACTGGAAATGGATCTGTTTATTCACTATAACTTTTAAACAAATATTGATTCATGTCAGTAGACTTTTGCAAAATTTGTCATTTAACAAAGGAGTTCTTAAAAGCATTTGTAGTTCAGCAACACATTCAATGATTTATAAAAAGAAACCATATTTTCACTGTGATTTTAGGAGGTCAAAATTATGAAGCACTCCTAATGTGTGAAGCAATGCAAAAACTACACTGAAACAGCTTTTGAGAGTATATGGTGAGATCTGTAGAACCAAGATCACCGCTGGTAGCAAGTTCAAAGTCATTTAGGTGCGAAACCTGGTCAGTTGCGGTCTTAGTACCATGAATAATTGACGGGGGTTTTTCGAGTGGGTCAGGTTACAGTTGTAGTCCTTGTAAATGTCGAAAACGGATTTAATTAAACTTACTCAAAGGTGACAAGTGTCCTTGTGTCAAATAGTTGTACCCATAACGAAAGTCCCCGAGTGCTGATTCCTGTGATTGTACATGTTTTTACTCTTACGCTGGTGTTAATTGTTATAAATCTTTGTCAAATTGCAACAGTAACTGCAATATAAAATAAAATGAGATTAAAGTCAAAATGAGAACCATTCTATTCGAAGCATTTTTCCCACTAGAAGAGCTGTCAAATACTAAAAAGTAATTTTTAAGATGCCGCCGACTCTCTACTGAATGGTTTAAAAATGGAAAAAACCATGGATTATTCCTCACTTAAGTATCTATCTTTAAATGATGTATCACTTATACAAGCCAAATTAGGCCACTCTAAGCTTAACCTATCCAAGCTCTTATTGCAGTTTATTGATTTATCTAAATTGCATTTGTTGATTTGTGCACATTGTTTTCACTTAATCAATCACATTCTCTTAAAATTTCAAGGGATTTCAAGTTCTCTTTTGGTTCTAAATTGTAGTTTATATTTTTACACAAATTCCAAGACTGTTGAGAAATCCAGAAAAAATTAGCATGTGATTTCCTTTTGGAGACCACAAAAGTTAGCAACTAACCTCGAATTTTTTTGTGTTTGGATGCACACCTACCTCTTAATCATACTTTTGCCACCTGAGTTTTTTAATTTTTTGGCTCATATTAAAACACGCTGCTACTATTTTGCAAATTAACTTTCTTTCCTTTATTACGATTTATCGTGTCCTATGGGATTTATTTGCCAAAAAGCGGCTGAAATTAAAACTTCAATTTTCTTGAAATTCCCAGGTATTCGCGATTGTCTCAATCATCTTCATCATTATCTCAACCGTCAGCCTAACTATTGGGACACTGCCACAATTTCAACCTAATTTAACTGAACTGCAACAGGCCTCGAATATCTTCCACACAAATACCTTCATCTCCTGGTGTCAAGAAACCAATGACAGTGGCAATGTGGACGACATTGTCTGCGAAAATCCGTACTTGAAGATTGTAGAATTTATTTGCATCACTTGGTTTACTTTGGAATACCTTATTCGACTGTGGGCCTGCCCCAACCGATGTCGATTTTTCAAGGACACTCTCAATACCATTGATTTTATTGCCATATTCCCTTTCTATGTCCATCTGATTATCATTGAAGTAGCCTCAAGAAATGAATTTAAGCGGCTTGGTTCAGTCCGCAAACTTGTGCAAATGTTCCGCATCCTTCGGATTGTCCGGATTTTCAAACTGGCCCGTCATTCCACTGGTCTGCTTTCATTGGGCTACACTTTCAGAAGGTCCTACAAGGAACTTGGCTTGTTAATGACCTTTGTCGCAATGGGAGTCATTCTGTTCTCGAGTCTGGTCTACTTTGCTGAAAAGGAAGAAAACGGCAAAATGTTCAAAAGTATTCCATCGGCGTTTTGGTGGGCTGCGATCACCATGACTACGGTCGGCTATGGTGACATGCTTCCACAAACGCCAATCGGGAAGGTGATCGGAGCCGCCTGTTGCATCTGCGGGGTGTTGGTCGTCGCTCTGCCAATCCCGATCATAGTTAACAATTTCGCTGAATACTACAAAGAACAGATGAGAAGGGAGAAGGCATTGAAAAGAAGAGACGCTCTAGAACGGGCTCGACTATCTGGGAGCCTTTTCTCATTTGAATCGGACGATTTTTCTAAAGAGCCGCAGTTTGCGACACTGATTCAAAAAAGGTGTGCAGATGCAGACAAACACCAGATAAACGCGTTCACCAAAACCGAACACATTTCGACTAGTCTAACTGCTCACCCGGAAGAGTCGAAAGACGTCATAGTAAGTGAATGCTATGTGTCGTAACATCAATTCGGTACAATGCAGCTCTGCTAAACTTCACTTTTCCGTAGGGATTAAAGTTTTGCCGTTTAAAAATTGCAGATTAGCCAAGTGTGCAACGCAGAATCAATATGTCGCCGTACACTGGCGATAAAAATCCCCCTTTTAATCACACTTAGATGACTAACCAAGAAAGAGGTCGTTATGTCCGTTTGCCTGACCTTATGCCTTTGAATGCGGTTAGTATTTAATCCATTATAAAACTGTTTTTTGGTGTTTGCTACCAAAGGCCGCCTTGTTCAACAAAAGTGTAAAAATGGTTCTTGGATTCTGTAGCGAAATTAATCCAACTGGTAAACATCTTCATGCGAACAGATATATGATGCCTTTTTTAAGGTTCCATAAAAGCTAAAAGTGCAAGGACATAACTTAATTAATTCTTCTAACAATGGCATAAATGCATTTCGAAAAAAAGTGCAACCGCTGTTTAGGCTTTGAAAATTTACCAGGATTATAATTTTAATTCAAAACTTAGCAATGCTGTCGGGATATGACATAACTAATATTTACTAAAGAGTATTTCATAACATAATAGAGTACAAGTTAACCTTATTATTAGAATACACATTTTAATAGTTTTTTTAACCCACAAACTAATGCTATTAAGGAACTACACTATTTGAATACCAGTTTATGTTATCACCGTAGAAAAATGATTGCTGATCAAGTCGATTGTTGCTGAGTCGAGAGGTGTGTGCTGGAGTTCAAATGATTTCAATGGTTTTGGACACACTTTATTTCACACAACAATGTCAATTAAATTGTTGGCATTTGACACGCCTATGTGTCCAAGGTTGCTTGAGAATGTTCTAGGGTTTGAACAGTTGACTGGTTCCTCTCGTGGTAACAGCTGATCAGGGATTGAAATGTTGGACGTAGGTAGGTAGGTATTGACAGGCACAAAAGAACCAAGTATTCGCAGCTGAAATGCTTGGCCATTTCTTCGGCCTTTCTGGCAGTTGCATCTTCGTGACCAGCCGCGGTCGACGCAGACGCTGGCTGGAGATCTATGTTTGCTGGGGCTCCGTGTCCCTGGGTGCCTCAACACACAAAGTTTTCGAACACAGGACATGACCGACCATTATGAGTGCACGAGAAGATCAGCAACACAGACATGGTGATGAGACAAGCAGTGTTGTTGGCAAATGTTGCTAATACCATTAGACAATTTATTTCCATGAGTCTATCCTACTTTCGAGATTCACTGATAACAATTAAATGATTGTGATTAAGATAGGGTGAACGCCATTTAGGGCCTTAAAAGCAAGTTAGTGATCAAAAAGCATTTGGCGTCGAGGCACTAGCGATTGAAATGGAGGATGGCTGACTGGTCTTGAGACTGCACTTGCTTCTTGTAGACCCCGATGTTGCAAGAAAGGGAAAAGCGAAATAGTTTAAAAACATCTGAGAATTTGTTGCTTTGTTTTTCCTACAGCGCTCTTAAACAAGTTCCACATTCTGCAAACTGACAGTCTAGGTAGCTTTCTTATCCTGTGTTTTGAGTCTCAAAGAGAAATTTTACTCTTAGGTTATTCCAATTTCGTTTAAGCGTTGATCGCCAGGCCACATAATAGCCTTCTTTTATAACATTAAAACCTAGTCTTAAAGATTTCTATTCTCATCCGACTCAACCTGGATTCGTCTGTCGTTTCCCATCAACCTCATCTCATTTTCAAACCCCTCACCTTAGTTCTTTACATCTAAGTAGGTTATGATTCTTGAATACCTCGTGGTAGCTTGGAATCATCATGCGTTACAACTCCAACAGCTGACTTTTCAACTTGTCTGCTAAAAGAGAACCATGTGTCGTCAATATTAAATCATTTTCAAAATTGCACAACCAAATTCTTAGTTGTCTCAGCGTTAATCAATCGACATGATTTAGCAACTTGCTTAATTTAAAAGATGCTATCACTAATAAACACAGCAAAAAGTCGACTCAAGACACACACCAAGCTCCATTCAACTCCTAAATCACAGCAGGTTCGCCAGCCTTGCCCATGCCTCAGAGACGATCGTTCATCTGATAACCTCATGACGGAAAGACCCTCTCCTGCGTGAGACTTGCTCAAAGCAGTCCACAGCCTTCCCCATGTCCAGTTGCGTGTTTCCTGTGAACTGATAGGAAATCTCGTTAAGTGAATTGGACGCCAGTCGTAAGTAGCCTACAGTTACATACAGACAAGCACAGTGTCACACAGGATGAGTTCTTCCCAATAATGCACCCAATCCCCGTAGACCGTTGAACCCGACGGCGGTTCCAGTTGCACATCGAAGACTCTAAAAAATGCCTTTTTTGTTGAAGACCCAGGCATGAAGTCTCGAACCTCACCGGGGCCACCATGTTTTGTTGGCCCAGTTATGCAACTTGGATCCTTGGAAAGTTCAGGAAGATCAGGGGTGGCGAAGACTCAATCTAGTTGTGCGTGTCCGTTTCCCGAAGTAGCACATGAGTTGTGTAGTTGCTGACCTATACATTTCGGGTAAACTGGTAAAAGAACAGGTGACTGAATGGCAAGAATTGTTAGACTGGAAGTGGGGGAGGCACATGCGCGGAAGGGTAAGACCAGACGTTTCCGTATGGCTGACGCCGCGAAAAGGAGGGCAGTGTGCTGGAGGACACGGTAGCCGCGTTGATAGCCGTTAGTGAACACAATTCGCTGCACTTTGTTCTACAAATCCTCGCTCCAGCCTTCCTCCTTATTTATTTCACAAAATCTCATGCTCAAGCTAATTTGAAAAAGGACATTATATGCTAAATGAGGGGAGGTAAATACATTGTGCTTGGATTAATTTCCGTTTTCTTATATCTAAAGCTTTGTGCATGGCTTGATTGGGCTCTGTTAATTTCATGACGTATTCCTTTCGGGATTTGAAATATGTCACTTTTAGCTTTCTGCAAAAACAAACTCTCCGTAGATGAATTTGAATCAATTAACTTTGGCATGGTGTGGACAGTTTTGTCGATGGATCAACCTAACGGGTTAAAATTTCGTTCTAAGGACCAATTTAACACAAATATGGCCAAATTAACGTCTACTCAACGAAGCTGCCATTCATCTGCACAGAATATTGCAGAGAGTTTGTCTAATTCATCACACACACACACAACAGTTGAATATCACCTAAAGCGCCTTGTCTCGATAATCTGCACATTTGATTTCGTCGAACATGGAAAAATTTACTGTCTACAGCAGCATTAATCAGATGCGCTCATTTTCCAAAATTGATGAATGATCATAAACGACTACGGACCCCAAGCTGTGAGACTAAAAGCTGCGTTGTGGATTTTGAGCTAATTCCGAGGATCCTAATAATTTATTTGGATATTTTCTGGTACATCCAAATTAAACTCATTTAGAAGGTTGTCGAATCAAAACACAATCGTGAACAATCACGATATCGTTTAGTCCAGTATGTGGTATCTCGTACAAAGTTCAGATGCCAAATTACCTGTCTGGCCTTACCTTCCACGAATGAAGTAACATAAAATTGAATGCTTAAACTTACAATAATGATCTTCTTCTGACACAGTATATAAACTTGGAGGAAGACATTCTGTGGTTGAGTGATCATGAATTTGTCAGGAAGATAAGAAAAACTTTATTTACTGCAAAACCAAATCCATTACTTGCCGGCCTGCTACAACCGCCCAAGGTATTTGCCTGAATGTCTGTGAAGTCGTAGAAGAACAATGCAGAATGGATTTAAGTACATAACCATGACCGACTTGACCTTCATTTAAATGCGACGAAGTGCGAACTTCCACAGATATCGATGCATTTAAAAGGCAGTCAGAGAATTAAGTCACCACTTTTGTGTACAGAATAGCGGAGCATTAAGCAGTTAATTTGCCCTCTGATGTTCCGTCAACGTCAAACATACCTAAGAGAAGGCAGAGTGGTAGTTTAACCACATGGCGTGAATGATGCAACTGGTTATTAACCCACATGTCACGATGTGTCATTTTGGGAGCACGTCTTAGGGAAATCGTCAACCGTTTTTGCAAACAAACGAAATTACACCTAAATCCTCCTCGTCAATTCTTCAGAAACAAAATTCATTCTTTCAGTCAACGTAAACCTCCTTTTCGAATGCACAAATCCATTTGTTTTAAAGGTGCGAAGCTTATTGCAGATAAAATACTCCTTCGTTGGAAGCGGCTTATACTCACGGTGTGTGGCCAGTCGTGCAAATTAACTCCATCTAATTGGCTTCGAGAATTAGGAAATGCGGTAGGGTACCACTGCGAGTGATTTTAAAGCAAGCTTTTGTACATTTTCCTCGGAATTTCCGAAACTGGTAATAATGGGCTGATGCAGGATTGATGTATTAAGAACATTGCCAATTCACAACTCATCGACTTGGTCGCAGGCCTAAGCTAACAATTTGGGGCACAAACCTTGCATCAAATTCCATCTGTTGGCTCGTTTTGAATTTCAGGCAATCACTTTTTCTGGCCCTCTCCGTGTAGCTTAGAGTGCTTCAGCTGTAACGTCCCCCTCGTCCTCTGGAATGTCGCCAGATGGCGCAGTGGCCCTCCTCACCCTCACTCCAGGCCAACTTCCAATTTCAAGAGTAAACATACCACCTCCACCATAATAGTAGAATAGTTATACCAAACGACGACAATTTAACAAAGTGGTCTATGTATTCGAGACCATTTACGAACCCTTTTCCTCACAAAACACCATCAAAAGCGACTTTTTGTGTTAACTGGTCTGTATTAAAAAAAGGACAAATGCTTTTCGTTGGCTAACGGTGATCAGAATGACTACCGAAAATCCAATAAAGCCCTCTTTGTTCTAAACGGACGTTTTTTTGGTCGACTGTCTGGAAAATTGACGTGCCAATTTTTGCCACTCTTGACATCAGTTTAAATAGTCTGTTTGCTTTGACTGCCCACACAAAAAGAACTTAGAATAACTAAATTGCTTGTGGTTGTCTGTCTGGACTGGTAACACAGGTAGAGTGGGATAATCTGGTGGTGCGTGGTCGTCAAATCACTACGTTTCTCGAAAAGCTTGAGTTCAGGTGGATTTATTAAGTTTACGTTTAAATTACCTCGAAGTAGTCACATGTCTGTTAACAACGTTATCTTAATTTTCTTTTCATTACCCTTTCTGACGCTAAGCCGCATTAACTAAATCAAAATAACTTACGAAATGTCTACAAATCAGGATTTGGACAAATATACACGTCATGGCAATACCAAAACCACCCATTTGTACACTAAAATTACGCAAGTTGAAAATGCAACTTGAATTACATCAAAAACAAGCAGAAATATGCCAGTTATTTGTACTATCCTTCACTCAAAGCTAAAGACTTTAAAGTGTTCATCTGTCCCGGGTGCGCGGCTAAGCGATTTCTTGAAGTTGATCAGTGTACAACTTGCGAATCAGAAATTGGTAGAGCGTGTAATTTCTAATAAAATCTCACCAACCTTGATTTAACGGACATTAAACTCATTAATGACAGTGGTGTCTAAAAATATCGCTAATTTGATGATGATAATAGGTCGGCAACAACGCCCCCAATATCACCAGTTCTGTCTTAATGCACACCTCATATTTTTTTGCTATTTCTGTTAATACCTCTTAACCTCATGAAGTATAACTCTAGAGCGTGTGTTCGTATTGTTAGAAAAAGGGGGAAAAACCCCGTGGACAAAGATATCGCTGAGCAAGTTGCAAACGTCAACATGAAAATCAATTTCATTGGCACCCCTCGAATCAGTAGAATCAAAACCACAGCAACACTGGTCTGCTTACGGAACTTTTATTTAACAGCTAGATAGCCATTATTAAGGAAGTGGCTTTTGAGAACATAAAATCGGCTGAAATTGTTAAAAGTAGTCAGAATGTCATCCAAAACTATAGTTTGGGACACACCTCCAGCAAATAACATTTTGAACTTTTGTAATAAAAAAAGGATATTACTTTGAACCAACACGATAATTATGAACCACTGGTAATTTGTAAAAGGGTAATTTAGCAGAAGTCAGACAGAGGGACCTGTGATGGGGATGTCGAATTTTTTTACATTGCAAAAGAACCACCTGCCAAAACTTTAAAAGCGTTTACTTTGATTTAAAATGAAAGGTGGTTTTAATGGTTACATGACTGCTGACCTCCGCATTTTCCTTTGATTTTAAATAGCCTTTTGTGCCACAATGAGGAAATAATTATTGAATTTCAACATAAATGTAGCTAGAATTGGACCTATCAAAAGATATCATCGCCTCTTAAATATATTACTGATTCTTTAAAAAAATGGCCCACTCTATAAATTACAAGAGTGCTTATGTAACTAAAATTGGAATTATGAAAAGAAAATCCAAGGAACACGATTCAAAAAGCGGTGAAGCAGGTTCATGACTTCCGCCAAGGTGTACATTTCCAAAAATGTTGATTCGTTTAAAAAGTAGCGTTTATTGT